CATGGACTGCTAGGAGAACAAACAGCTCTGTCCTAGAGAGGGTGAAACCAGGCTGCTCCTTGGAGGCAAGGATTCTGAAGCTTCATCTGACATACTTTGGGCATGTCACAAGGAGGCACCAGTCCTTGGAGAGGGAAATCTTGCTTAGGAAGGTGGAGGGACAAGGAATGAGAGGAAGACCCTGGATGAGATGGATTGACGTAGTGACGGAGGTAATGGGGGTGGAAATGTAGGATATGATGAGGTTGGCACAGGATAGAACACTGTTCAGAGCTGTTGTACATAGGGTCGCTATGAGTCACAAATGACTCCATGACACTTAACAACAACACAGAATGGAATCACTGAGACTAGCTTCTTTAGTTTAAATAAAGAAACAAAATCTCCAAGAGGAAAGGGTACATGTCCAAAGTCTTCCTTCAGGTTCCTAAGAGTCTGTCAGGTTTTAAGGTCAATATCCTTCAGCTCACTCCTGTATCTCAGTCCTAGTTCCTATCCCCCGATAACAGGAGATATTTCTCTTCCTGTGAAGAGAAACTTCCACCTTGCAGATGGCCAGCCTCCTCCTAGGAGATGCTGGAGTCCAGGTTGGAGAGGCCAGGTTCCCCATGCGCACATTACCTCCTTAGATTAAGATAGACCCAGGATGGCCTCCACTGCCACATTTCTGGAGACTCCGAATCTGGAATCAAGGTGCTGGCAAAGATAGCTTCTTCTAGAGAGTCTGAGGGAGAATCAGTATCAGTCTCCTACCGGCTGGTTGTTTCTGGCAATCCTTAGCATTCCTTGTTTTGCGTTATTTTGTGCTGTTGTGTCACCTGTGACTCACAGTGACCTTATGTTCAATAGCTCTGAACCTTGACCTATCATGAACCAATTTCTTCAACATACCTACTCTCATTGCCCCAGTCACTGTATCAATCTATCTCATCTGGAGTCTTCCTCTCCTGCGCTGTCCCTCCACCTTTTCAAGCATGTTGTGATTCTCCAAGGACCAGTTCTTCCCAGCAACATGCCCAAAGTATGTGAGACAGAATTTCAAAATCCTAGCCTCCAAGGAGCAGTCAGTTTCTCCCTATCCAAGACAGACAGACCTGTTTGTTCTCTTAGCAGCCCATGGTAGACCTGTTTGTTCTCTTAGCAGCCCATGGTATGTTCAAGACTCTTCTCCAGCACCACAGTTCAAGGCACCAATTCTTCTTCTATCATTCCTAGTCACTTTGTAGACTCATCATCTTAATCTCTGCCTCTATGATTACACACTCTTCCCTACATCTTCTGTGTCGGTGTCCACATTTCGTTTTTTGTCTAAGCACACAATTCATTAGATAAGGGCCTACTCTAAACCAATATTATCTTATATTGGTTACATCCAAATAAGGTCAGAACTAAGCGTATCTTTTTAGGCTACACGATTCTACCCACTATGCCCTGTAAGATCCAACTGCCCGAACTGTCAGAGAACAAATTTGGGCTTTAAGCCACTGAACTTGTGGTAGTTTGTTACAGTGGCAAATAAAAACGAATACAGTGTTAATATAAAAATACTGACATATTGAAGATAAGCCGTAACTTGGCACAGCAAACCTCCATAGCAAAAAGGCTAGTCAGAAAAAACAAATGCAAAAAGGAAAAGCTAGTCAGAATACCAAACATCTGCTGATGACCATTTAATTTAATAGAATGCCTCAGAGCATCTTGGTGGACACCTGGCATCAAAGACAACGATGCTGAGGGTGTTTTCTAAAACCTTGCGGGAGAAAATAGAGGACAGCAGAGAAGAATTTCCAAATCAGACCTTTATTTTCAAACACAGGAATGAGAAGAACTAAGTTTCTTTCATTAAAAAAAACTCTTCTTCAAGGAAGAATGTAACTGCTTTGAAAAGATTGCTTTGGTTACAATGATTGACACTGAGTGATTGACATTTTAAATTCTGAGATGTCTGTTACAATGAAGGGGGGGAAACCTATGACTAAAGAATTAAGCTTCACAATTTTTGAAGGGTATGCATGAGCATAAGGATAAAAGGGTATTAAAAGGAGTGGGTTTAGATCACTGCACAGGTCAAAGACAATTGGATACTTTTTGTGCTAAAATAGATTACCATGTTGGTGTTTGTATTGATCCGTGTACTCTGTTAAAGAGGGTTTGAACTAGGCAAGAGATCTCATTAACAATACTTGTGAGGTCTGCAAATCCACTGATGCCAGCCACAGTGGCCAACTTGAAGCCCAATACGACGTAAAATGTCTTGATTTTTCTCATCATTAAGTGATACATGTAAATAAAATGGGAGTCTTCTCTGATGAAGGAACTTTTGAAACTTTGAAGCAATTTGCCACATGTTGCCTTGACCCCGATATTTGGGAAAAGTGTAACCCATTCTTAACTCACAAGATTGATCCATAACCATCCAGGAGATGGGAGTCCTCTCTGGACCTTCCACACCAAATCCTGGAAAATTCTGGAGGCAGCGTCGGACAAACTTCAAGCTCGTCTCATTTTTGCCAAAGCCCCATTGTTTATTCACAAGTTCTGCATGGGAACTATCCAATGAAATGATTGGAAAACTTGTTGTATCCAATGAAATGCGTGGAAAACTCGTTTTCCTGTCAAGAAAAAAAGTTATCCGTTACTCAGTCATTATGGATCAAACTTCAAGAGTGAATAATATTAACATAACACTATCTTTTTTCCCTTGATAGGAAGCTCCGGTGGCCTAATGAATAAGAAGTTGCCCTAGAAACCCAAAGGCAGGTGGTTCAAATCCACCAGTGGTTTTTGGGGGAGTTTATGTGGGCAATCTCTTCCCATGTGATTGACTGTCTCTGAAAACCCACTGAGGGTCAGCAATGACTGATTCTGTCTCAACAGTGATGAGAACTTTTGTTGTTGCTGTTGTTGATATCTTCAAGCCAACTTCAACTCTTAGCAATCCTATGCACAACAGACCTGAATCCACGCCATGGTCTACTCAATTACTTGCTACGCTTCAGAGAGCTGGACAATGACTAAGGATGACAGAAGAATTGATGCCTTCAAGTTGTGGTGCTGGAGAAGAGTCTTGAACATACCATGGACTGCCAATAAAACAAATAGGTCTGTCTTGGAGAGGATGAAACCAAGTCTCTTCTTGGAGGTCAGGATTTTGAAGCTCCGCCTCACTTACTTTGGGCATGTGGCCAGGAGCAGTTGGTCCTTGAAGAAGGACATCATGTTTGGAATGGTGGACAGACAGCGCAGGAGAGGAAGACCCAGGATGAGATGGATTGATACAGTAACTGGGGCAATGAAGTTTGGTGTGTCAGTGTTAGTGAGACTGGCTCAGGACAGGGCAGGGTTCAGAGCTACTGCACATAGAGTTGCTGTACATCGCAGGTGACTCAATGGCACATAAAAACCATAACATACTAGGACAGGTTTGGAAGCAAGAGTGGCATCCACTTCCTAAACAACATGTGTCTGGAAACTCTATGAACTTTGATAAATGTCGATAGTTGTAGAGGAGCCTTTTGTTCACGGGGTCGCTATGAGTCATGCTCAACTTGATGGCAATCAACAACAACAACAACGCCATCCTCACTTGAACATGCTCTCAGCCATTGTTACGGTCACTCTGTGAGTCCATCTTGTCAAAAGTCTTCCTCTTTTCTCTGATCTCTTCTAACCTCCTGACAACACATCCAAAGTGCGTGAGACAAAAGCCTCCCCATCTTTACTCTTGGAGAAGTGCCCTGGTTTACCTTCATCCAAAACAAACTAGTTTGTTCTTTTGGTAGCCCATGGGACAGTCAGTACTCTTCTCCAGCACCACAATTCAATGGCATTGATTCTTCTTCTGTCATTTTTTCTTATTTCTTTTTTCATTCTTATTTATTGTCCAGCTTTCTGATGCATAGCAAGTAATTGAAAAGAACATGTCTTGAATTTGGTGCACCTTAGTCTTTAAACTGACATCACTGCTTTCAGCACTTTGGAGAGGCCTTTGGTAGCAGATTTTCACAGTGCAACACATCTTTTCATTTCTTGACCACTGTTACAATGAATGGGTGTTGTTGATTGTGGATACAAGTAAAATAAAAGTTTTGACAACGTCAATCTTTTCTCAATTTATCTTGATGTTACCTATTGGTCCGGTGGTAAAGATTTTTGTTTTCGTGAGGATGAGGTCTAATCTATATCGAAGGCTGTATAGTCTTTGCTCTTCTGTGGCAAGTGTTTCAAGTCCTCCTCACTTTTTTCTTTTTTTTTTTTTTATTTTAATGAAAGTTTACAGAGACTTAGGGTTTCCATTCATTGATTGCTGCACTTTTCTCCCTGCCCACTCAATCTCCCCCCACCCCAATTTGCTCTTCTCTTTGAAAAGTAACAGTCTTTCATTGTTATACAATCCCTCCCAAGTCCACTCCACTGTTCAGCCTTCATTCTGGACTCTTGTCATGACAATAATACCTAACCATTTGTCCTCCTCACTTTTAATGAGCTTTTATGTCATCTGCATAAAGCAGGTTGTCAATGAGTTTTCCTCCAATCCTGATGGCATTCTTCTTCATAGAGTCTAGCTTCTCAAAAGGTTCGCTTAGCATACAGATTGAATAGATATGGAGAAAGAATATAGCTCTGACATACAATTTTTCTGATTTTAAGCCATGAAGTATAACTCTGTTCTTTCAGACAATAGTTTCTTGTGCGTATTTGATTTTTGTTTTGTTTTGTTTTGTTTTGTTTAGGCTTCCCTTAATAATCCCATTGTTGACATTAATTGCCACTGAACTGATTCTGACTTGTGGTGATTCCATATCTCACAGAGTAGAACTACCCCATAGGACTTTATTAGCTGTAATCCTGATAAAAACAGATCATCAGAATTTTTCTTCAGTGGTAGCGCTGAGTGAGTTCAAACTACCAGCTTTAAGCTTAGCAGCCCATGGCAAATTATTTACACTAGCCAAGGGCCAATGAGGATCTCACTTAGCCTACCATGAAAAATATTTCTGTATGTTTCAAAAAATATCTAAATAATTGAGAGATTACTCCTACGTGATTTACAGTCGATTCCATAGGAAAGTTAGCATGGCATAATATTCTGTATCTCAGAAACAGCTACCAAACACACTGAGAAAGACGAAAAGGAGAGAGAGGGAGTGTGTGTGTGTGTGTGTGTGTGTGTGTGTGTGTGTGTGTAAGTCTCACCATCCTTTCTTCTAAGTGCCCTGGTTGCCCTTTTTCCAATGCAGATTAGTTTATTCTTCTGGGAGTCTGTGGTATATTCAATACTCATGCCTAAAACCACAATTTAAAGGTATCAATTCCTCTTCAGTCTTCCTTATTCACTGTCCAACTTCCACAACCACAAAAAAGCAATTAAAAATGTCATGGCTTATTGAGAAATTATGGTACATTCACATGATGGAATACTACGCAGCATGCAGGAGCAATGATTTTGTTAATTATTACCTACCTTGGGAGGGACTGGAGAGCATTATGCTAAGTGAACCAACTCAGTCTCATAAGGACAAATACTGTAGAAGACCATTATTGTAGAACGAGTATGAGGATCCAAGTGGGAGGAGGGAAAGAATGTGGAAGCAGAGGGGTCAGGATGTGCAGTGGGGAAGGATTAATCATGGGGTAACACAATTTGATGGGGTTTGAGGGAAACTGGAAAAATCTGAGGTGAAAAACAATGTATTCAAACTTTGTAAATAAGCTAGTATAAAAAATAATGTAAAATAGAATGTATAGGAATGATTGTATGAAACACAATATAAATTAAAGATTTTGTATAAAACAGAATGTGTATAAATGAAACATACTTTAAAGCATGATTTGATTATGAAATCAGTAAAAATATTATTTGATTACAAAAATCAACAAAAAATATTTTTTAAAAAATGTCATGGCTTGTGTCAGATGCACCTTAGGCTATGAATGGCTGGCTATTCATGCTCAAAGATACTTCAAAGAGGTCCTTAACCGTGGATTTGCCCTTACAACATGTCTTTTGATTTTTTTGACTGCTGCTACCATGTGTGCTGGTTGGAGATCTAAAGAAGATGAAACCATTGACAACTTAAATCTTTTCTCTACCTAACATATGTTGGTTACTGGTCTAGTTGTGAAGATTTTTGCTTTCTTGATGTTGAGGTATCATCCATCTTGACAGCTTGATAGTCTGAGCTTCTTCAACAAATGTTTCAAGTCTTTGTCATTTTCTGTAAGCAAGGATGTGTCATCTGCATGATGTAGGTTTTTCATGAGTTTTCTGTCAACCTGATATCAAATTCTTCATCAAGTCCAGCTTCTTGAATTTGCTCAGTACAGATATAGAACAGATATGGGGGGGGGAAGTGCAACTCTAATACACTACTTAGTTAGCCTACGGTGTGAGGAGTGGGTGGGTAGCTTCCTTTTTTTAAAAAAAAAAAAGGTAATTGAACAGAAGAGGCTGTGAAATGAGAGATATCATTGCTGATGTCAGATGAATCCTGACTAAAAGTAGTGACTAACAGAAAGATGTTTACTTGTGCTTTATAGACTTTGCAGATTTGACTATGTGACTCATGATAAAGTATGGATAATGAGAATTCTCAAACATGTAAGTGTGATCATGTGAAATCTGTCCCTAAATCAAGAGTCCTTCAGACAGAACAAGAGAACTCTTGATGACTTAAAGTCAGGAAAGGTGTACATCAGGGTTTTCTCTTTCCCCCATAATTACTAAATCTGCATGCTGATCAAACAATTCAAGAAGCTGGCATTGATAAAAATGAAAATTAGCATCAGAATTGGAGGAAAACTCACCAAAAACCTGATATGCAGATGACACAACTTTGCTTATAATAAGTGAAGACTTGAAGCACTTATGGAAGATCAGCCTGTAGCCTTCAATATGGTTTACACTTGAACATCAAAACAACAAAACTCTTCTCAACTAGATCAACTTGTTATAATATCATGATAAATAGAAAACAGATTGTAGTTGTAAATTATATCATTTTATTTGGGTCCACAATCAACATGCATGATAACAGCCAAGAAATCCAGAAGTATGTTGTATGGTGAAATCTGCTGTCAAGGGCAGCTATAAAGTACAATAGAAGGAATATTAGTCCAAAGACTAACGTGTACCTGGTGCCTAAGTCAAGGTATTTTTCTATACATGTGACATTGTTTTGTATGAATGTGAAATTTGAACAATGAATAACTAAGATATAAAATAAAGTGCCTTTGAATTGGGCGTTGACTGAGTATTGACTGTATCACGGACCACCAAAAGAATAAGCAAATCTGTTTTGGAGGAAGTGCAACAAGGGTGTTCTGTAGAAGCTAAAACGGTGAAACTTCGTCTCACATAGTTTGAACATGCTGTCAGGAAGAGCCTGGAGTCGGAAAAAGGCATCATTCTGGGGAAAGTATAGAGTCAATGAAAAAAAGGACGAGACCCTTGATGAAATGACACAAGGTGTCCAAGCATGGTGGAGATTGTGAGGATGGCATGGGATAGGGGAGTCTCCAGTAAGTTGTTCATATGGTCACTATAAGTCATAGATGATGTGATAGCATCTATCCACAACAGCATATACACAGACTTTGCCTGATTGAATACTAATTGATTAAATATGTAGGAAGAGATGGTGGAAAGGTCAGTGTGAGCAGTCAGTACAAGGCCAAGGACCAAATGTGAACCAGGCCATGAATTACTGATATGTAGCTTCAAAATAAAACTGAAGACAAATCCACTAACATAAAAATACAACCTTGAGTCTATTCCACCTGAACCTAAAAAACTTTCTCAGGAACAGTTTTCATGCACTGAACACTAATCACTGAAGACCAGACAAGTTGTGAGATTAAGTCAAAGACAGCAACAATGAAGAAAGAGAAGGCCATTAAAAAGACAGAGAAGACAGACAGCACCAGCACAGATGTCATAAAAGATTGTGATACCTCTCTTCAATATAGAGAAGTTATGGCAAAAGGCAGAAATGATGAAGAGAGCTCAACCAAAAATTTTGAAGGGCATCTTTAGAAAACAAAACAAAGTACCATAATGAAAATTTCAAAGACTTGGAGTTGGAAAATCAAAAGAGGTTAAATAATGTATACTGCATTGAAACAGATGCGGGAGAGAACTGTTTAAAGGGGATATATGATTAGGTATTATTGTTATGACAGGAGTCCAGAATGAAGGCAGCATAGTGGAGTGGACTTGGTGGGAGGGATTATATAACAATGAAATATTTTTTTCTTTTACTTTTCAAATAGAAGAATGCAACATTTAATGAATGGAAATCCAACGTCTTTGTTAAAAAAGAATGTGTATGCATTAGAAAGATTGTAACTAATATTACCAGTTGTGTATCAGCTTCATATGGCAAACTAAGCAATCTGTAATATGTTAAAAATAATCTCAATAAACTACTATTAGAAATAAAAGAAAAACGGAGCAACATGATCAGAATATTTTAGGATGAAAATACAGAAGAACGAACTCAGGCCTCAAGTTGCAATACTGAAGAATTGTATGGACAAAATCTTTAGTGATGCCGGAAGCATAAAATAAGATAGAAGGAATACAGTTACCATGCCAAAAAGAACTGGTGAATGCTGAACTATTTCAAGGAGTAGCATGTGATCAAGAAGCAACGATACTGAAGGAAGAAGTCCAAGCTACAGTGAATGAAAGCTTAGTCAAAATATAAGTCTCTGAGATAAGATTGATGGAGTATCAGTTGAGGTGTTTCAGCAAGCCCTTGCCGTCTTGAATGTACCCTCTCATCTATGGTGAGAAATTTGGAAGGCAGCTAGTTGGCCAACTGACAGGAAAAGATTGTTTTTTCTACCCATTCCCAAAGAGTTAGTTAATGGAATTCAGAATCCATTGTACACTATAATTAATATCATAAACAATTCAAATATTTCTGAGTATTATTTCAAGATGACTGGAGTAGTCATTAATAAACACCTGCAAGGGTCCAAGTCCAATTTCGAAGAGGCTGTTGAACAAGTGGTATAATTGCTGATGTCAGATAATCTTGACTGAAAGCACAGAAAACCAGAAAGATGTTCATTTGTGTTTTATTGAATATTCAAAGACATCTGACTGTGTAGATTATACTAAATTATGGACAACACTGAGTGGCCCAATGGGATTAAGTAGAACTGTCCAATAGTGCTTCCAAGGTTTTGTCAATTTGCACATAAGCAGGCTGCCTGAACAACAGCTGATGGTTTCAAATTGTAGAACAGCTAATGGTTTCACACTGCCAATGTTTAAGTTAGCAACCGGCATTTAACCAGCACTACCAAGGCTCCATGTCCCATCTAGGGACCTAAATAGCGTGCATACCAATTTTAACAATTATTTACCTGGGTGGGGAAACTGGGAGAGAACACAAATGGATGATTTTTGCTTTTCAGTCTGTTTCATTGTATACTTTGTATAGCACATATAATTTTTGTTTTTTAAAAACAAGTTCTAGTAAATGCGTTACACATATCACCAAGAGGATCAATACTCTCCCAGGAGGACTTTTTGAAGCCTAGCTGAACTAATTTCTGGGAGGGACTCATCCAACGAAAACCCCACCTCATGTTCAACAAATAATTGCTAACATAGTTCTTCTCCCTCACTCATTCAACCACGGGCCCCATCATAATTTAGTCTCAGATCTCACATTTCCAAATCTATCCTTACAGTGATGAAAGAGTTTGATCAGGAATTTAGGAAATAAAAGTCATAGACTCACTTGTTCTCATTATCCCATTTACTCATTTTAAACAAGTCCATAGGATTACTCTCATCACCATTTGAAGTCTTCTGTTTCATCAGGAACTTTTGAAAAAAGAGCATGGTCTTCGTGTAATCCACCTTCATTGATTCGGAAGCTGCAATCTTTGTTATGGCTTCGCCCACACTCTCTTGGAAACCTGAGTGGAGGAGAAAGAGAGACACTACATCTCTTCTTGCATATTTGCTGCCTAGTTGAGCAGGAGGTCTTTGCCTTTTACCTCAGCCCACTTACTTTGGATCTGGAAGACTTGTTCCCAGTTGATAACCTGTGGACATCTCAGGATTTCCTCTAACTTGTCAGGGTCTTTGGTGAAGATTTGATAAGTGTTGGTATAATGATCCAGGTCATCCTTCATCTCCTAATAGAACAAGTATCAGTCATATTTCTATAGAACCATGATTGGCAGAATGTTATTGCCTATGGCTAGAGTGTTTGAGATTAGATGGTTTGATTGCCTCTATTTTTTTGAGAGAGTTGTAGGAACTCACCTTAGAGCCCCACAGCAATAAATCACAGTTGACCTTCTGAAGGTATAATGGGATAGTGAAGTGAATTTTCCTTGTGAGGGTGAATGAACAGAAGATAGAAGATGTCCTAGAAATGGCATGTGTTATTAAAAAAAAAAAGGCTCCTTGAGTTATGACAACAAGTATGGGGACAAGGGACTACTAGTGGCCTTGTGGTAAGAAGCTTTGCTGCAATCCCAAAGGCATGCAGTTCAAATTTCACCAGCTACTCTGCAAGAGAATGAGCAGTTTTCTCTCATGTGATTTACTGCCTCTGAAAACCCACTGAAGGCTCAGCTATGAGTCTGTTCCAACTCGACAGCACACAATAGCACGGGCGACAAGGTTGGGGCCAAGGCTTTGGGATTCTAAAGAAATGCTGACTGAACTAATTCCGATCCAGCACCCTGGGGCTGGTGAGACAATGGAATCTTGGTTGTGTATGTAACTAGAAAGAATTCTTGGAAAGACCTTGCTCATAGCAAGACTTGGATTAGAATGCCCAGTCTATCACCATATGCTTGCCTGGCTCTCCCTGTCAGCCACATTGCCCCTAGGGTAAGGCATTGCAAGAGATTCTGTGCTTCAGTTCCCCTGATTCCGGTAAACAGGGCAGGGGGAATAGAATGTCTTTACTCTGGGCTGAAATGGAATTCACTACTTCAATTCCCCACATCTGGAAAGCGGAGAGGACTTGGAAAACAGAGGCTCTTGGAAAATGTGATTGTTCTGAGGTCAAAAAGCATGAGGAATCCCATAGGTGAGTGGTTCGAATCCACCAGATGCTCTGCTGGAGAAGGAACAACAATCTCCTCCTATATCAGTCAGATCCTGTTTGACGGTACAGGCACAAAAACTAAAAATAAGTAAATAAATGAATGAATGAATGAATGAATGAATAAATAAATAAATCACTAGATAGATAAATGAATGAATAGATGATAGATAGATAGATAGATAGATAGATAGATAGATAGATAGATAATAAATGTACTAGTGGCTATGTTGAACCATGAATCAAAAGATCAAGAGTTCAAATACACCAGCCCTCCTGCAAGACAAAGAAAGTTAAAGTACTCTCTTCAGCTTAAGATGTATAATCTCCAAAACCACGCTTTCCATCAATGAGTATGGGTTTTGTTTTCTTTGATGTCTTTTCCTCTGGGAGCCCTGCTGATGCAGCGTTTCTGGAGTTCACTGCTCACGGAAAGATCAGTGGTGTGGAACTCCAGCAGCTCTGGAAAGCTCACAAAGGATTTGGTTTTTATTTTCTCCACTTTTCCACAAAAGTCCTTTTTGTCAGCTTCACTTTTTTATTTTGTAATTTATGAGACAGTTTCTCCAACATCACAAAAGCTAGTCTCCGACAGATTTGTATATCAAACCCATCAATAATCAAGCATGCATGGATTATGCCCATTGAGTGAAAGAGACAAAAACAGGTCTTATAAAATAAGATATTTATAAAATAGACAAAGGAACCTGTATTGATGTATATGCCCATGATTAGATTTGGGGATGGGGGGGGACACAGATGTGATTTACAAACCGTGGATTATTGCCATGTCATCTCTCACAGTTCTATTCTCCTCCTCCCAAATTCCCTAAAAAGTCTTTTCAAAACCCATGCACGGTGGAGCCAGGTTCTTGTCCCTAACCGTCAGCTTTAAGACCCCTATTCCCACACAGAGTACATCCTGAGGTAACTGGCTTGGAGGTGAAGTCACTCTATGCTCTCACCTCCTTCTTGGGCCGTGTGATGACTGTCTGATAATCCGGCCAGGCATCCACCAGGACCTCCATGCTGAATGGGTTTTTGTTTCTAATGTTGAAGATAACACCATACACCTGTAACAGCAGAGAGTAAATCTTGGTTTTGAGATAGGGTCTTAGATATAACATAAATGATGAGAACAAGTTAGACCAAAAAAAAAAAAAAGTTCTGCACTGTATCTTCCACCTTCTAATTGTCCCTCCCACTTTCATTCCCCAGATATAAATAATCACTAATCTACTTCTGGTGTTTGAAGTTTTCCACCCTCAGTCTGAATATTATATATGAATTTAATTCTATTTTTAAAGTATTGGGGAAGATTTGACCAGAATGGAACTTATAGTTCTAGGATGATTTCTTGGATGACTTATTGGGACATGAGAGCCAAGTAAGTTAACCAAAACCACTCAAAGTAATAATAGATCATTGCTAACTGAATCTAATGATAGATCATTGCTAACTGAATCGACTGACATGATATTTTTGTCATTCATGTCAACATTTATTTGACAACTATTAGATACCAGGTTTGTGTTAAGCATCGAGAAAAGTGAATATGACATGTCATTATTTTCAAGTTCAGTCTAGAAAGATAGAGAAACACATGGCCCAATAATAGAAGGAGGGATGTTGATAGAGAAACACATGGTCCAAACATAGAAGGAGGTATGTTGTGTTCTGACAGAGGAATGACACATGGAGTCACATTGAGTGGAAATCTACTGAACTTTAACTAAAAACAACAACTAATCATTATGAGCAACAAATCATTAGTGGTAAAGAGTTGCACTGCCAACCTAAAGACAAGTGGTTCGTATCCACCAGCTGCTAAGTGAGAGAAAGCTAGGCAATCTCCTCCTCTGTGATTTACAGCTTCTGAAACCTGCTGGAGGTTCGGCTACGAGTCAGTTCTGCCTCCATGGCACGTAACAACAACAGATCAATCTTCATGAAGGCAGGTCTCCAGGCCTTTCTTCAACAGCACCAACGGATTCAAATTGACAACTTATTTTCAGGTGGTGTAGGGCAAACCATTTGTGCCACCTAAGGATTTTAGAGGGTGTGGTTAAGGAAGGTACTTCAGACAGAAATTGAAAGTAAAGCATGACGGGATTCTTAGAAGTGTGGTAGATTATTATATGACACCTGCTGCGTTATCAGATGTTCAATATTTATAGCAAGTGGCAAATGGCAGGGATTGTTGAGGGATGCCATAGGCAAAACAGGTGTAGAAGCTGGGCCATTTTTGTGATAAATCTCTAAATACCCAATTGAGGAATCTAGACTTTCTACCCTCGGCATGGACTACTACTGCAAATTATGGAAATGATATGATGATAATCATGTCAAATATATGACTCTGGTCAACCAGGAGCAAACACTCTGTTAAGATTAGCGACTGAGATATATCATAATAGTTTGCACGGGGAAAGGAAGTACACTAGAGATACCAGTGGGATGACCTTGAAAATGGCTATGAGATCAAAACAAATCAAAGGAGACAATAGATTGGATGTGAATATAAAGACCACCCCTGACACAGGGATCTAAACTTATTTTCTCATCTGTTCAGGGATATTCCGAGTCCTGAATCTACCCATGTCCTTCTTCACACCTATATATCCTGTCCCTCCCTCTGCTTTCTTACCTTTAACGACTCAGGGATGTGTTCCTCCAGAGATTCAAACAGAATCTGCAGATCCTGAGATTCTTGAAGCACAAGCATCTTATGTAGCACTTCAGCTCCCGTGTTCTTGAAAGATGATCTAACAAAACAACAAAAACACTTGTTAACAAAAGTGAAATGTGCGGGAAATGAAGGAAGGAGAAGTCAACTAGGATCCTATACATTGTTAAACACAGAAGGCTTGGGATTTAAATTAGCCCTTACCTATCATTTTATGAGTGAAAAGAAAAGCCTATAGCAGTTGGATCCTGGGAGAGATGGGGGCAGAGCTGCAACTAGACCTTGGGGTTGATTAGTAATCTCTCTACAGTCCCAGAGTGAGAGTAGTGCCAAGACACATCTGATGAAACAAGACTCCCCATGTCCTGTTCGATTCAAATCAGACCAACGGTCAAAGAAACTCTCCCCAACTGCCCAAATGCAAACAAAGAACAATTAATCTCTTCAGAGGCTGCCTAGAGGCTCTGGACATTGCAGATAAGAGTTAATCTTAAGAATGAAAATGCTTTCTCTAATGTTGCCAAACTTGCGTATGATGTTCAGCCATCATGACAGAATGAGGTCATCTTGGAAAGATTCTAAAGACCACATTATACACAATTAAATTTTCCTGAACAAAATCATAGGAAGGAAAAATTCTTGACTGTCATTTATGCTCAACACTAACCCCCCAAGCATAAATTAGCAAAGCCTGGAAACTGGAATTTTGTTGTTATTATTATGTGCGATTGAGTTGCCTAATAACTCATCGTGGCCCTATGTACAAAAGCTCTGTCCTGAGCCAGTCTCACTGACTCTGACACACCTATCCCCATTGCTCCAGTTACTGCGTCAATCTATCTGCTCTGGGGTCTTCCTCTCCTATGCCTCCACCCTTTTACGTGTGATGACCTTCTCCAAGGACTAATCCCTCCTGGCCACAGAGTATGAGATAGACCTTCAGAATCCTTGCTTCCAAATAGAAACTTGGTTTCACCCTCTCTAAGATAGACCAGTTTGTTCTCTTGGCAGTGCATGGTATGTTCAATACTCTTCTCCAGCACCACAACTCAAAGGCATCAATTCTTCTTCTGTCATTCTTAGACACTGTCCAGCTCTCTGGTGCATAACAAGTAATTGTGAAGACCTTGGCCTGGATCACGGACACCTTAGCCTCTAGACTTACATTGTTGCTCCTCAGTACCCTGGCGAGGTCCCTGACAACAGATTTTCCTAGTGCAATTTGTCTTTTGATTTCCTGGTAGCTGGTGCCAAGAGTGTTGATTGTGGAGCTGAGCAAGCTTTAATTGTTAACAACTGCAACC